GAACCAGCTTTTTGTTCATCGATTTTTTGTAATATCTTAAGTCTTATATGTCCTGGATTAGGGTTTTTATTTTGGTGATCTGGATTCTTGTGCTGAAGTTAGGATTTTTGTGGTCTTGCTATTCCAGCTTCATTAGGTGGCTTGTTAGGCTGTCAATTTCTGTTCACACACACACACACACACACACACACACACACACACACACACATACTCGCAAGTTGAATACAAGAATCCTGGCCTGGTCTAGCATGAGCAAAGTAAGGCATTCACTTCTAGTACAGAATTTGAGAGGGTGTCCAAGACTTGGTAACCAAAACTCATGTGATTTAGTGATGTTTGATATTTGAGAAAAAGATAAAGATATTTGAGAAAAGCTATTTTTAACTGCAAAGAATCAATGACATAACCCTGACATTAAACCAACTACCATTTCAAGTTGATCCTGTATGACTAGTAGGTGAGAATTTCTTCCCAAACAATGCATATAACTGTCACTCCAACTTTTCATCTCATTAGAAAACCAGTAACAATTTTCTTGATATTTGAGCCATTCTGGTGGGCACAGTACTACAGGGAAATGTAGAAAACAAAATAAAATTAAATTAAATATGCATCTCTGAAAATTGACTTATGTGTTCTAAAAATAAGAGTAGACCCATAATAAAATCACTCATAGCAACTGTTCGGGGTCACAAGATGGGCAAAATGTAAATAATAAATAATAATCTTTGGAAATTAAGATAAATAATTTAGAAAAATAAAAAAATTTAGACACAAAGAAATTTTTGATGCCAAGATCTATTATACCAACTACAATGGCACATACAACTTAAAATTGATATTTCATTAGTGGTATTTGAGAGATTAGATAATATATTATATTATACCACTTACTTGGAATTTATCCACATAAAGTTTTAGAATCTTTGCCTTTGTAGTTTTGCATGCATGTCTTTTCTCTCTTGATAAATAATATCAAGATTAATAACAGTTTATTTTCAACCTCTTTATAGTTATAAAATCATCACGTTCTTTGATTTTCTTAAATTAAAATTAAATTTAGGTATTCTCAATGGAAAATATTAACAATTTTAGCATAATACTGGGAAAAAGTGAGGCATATATAGCAATATAAGTGAAGGCCAATATAACAATTTTAACTTGTGACCCATTAAAATCTTTCTCTTTTTTATGGAAGCAAAATTCATGTAACAAAAAATTCACTATTTTAGCCATTTTATAGTGCTAATCAGGTATTTTGTACATCCACAATGTTGTACAGCTATCACTACTATCCAATTTCAGAACATTTTTATTAATGCAAAATGCAGAGCATAAACACTAAACAATCACTACTCATCCCTGAGCCCCTGGCCTTGGCAACCACTGGTCGGCTTTATGTCTTTATGGATTTGACCAGAATGGGCCTTTCATATACAAGAGACCATAAAATATGTGGCCTCTTATATGTTTTTTTCATTCAGCATAATGTTTTCAAGGTTCATAAAAGTTGTAGCAAGAATCAGTACTACATTCTACTTTATGACTGTAGAATATTCCAGAGCATGTAGGTAGCACATTTTGTTTATCCATTCATTGAGAGACATTTGAGTTGTTTTCACTTTTTGGCTATTCTGAAGGCTGCTGCAATAAACATTCATGTACACATTTGTGTATGGATATATGGTTTTCCATTCTCATGGGTGTGTACTTACACAAGAGTTGAATGTTGATTTATATGGCAATTCTGTTGAACTTTTTGAGGAACTGTCAGACTGTTTTCCCAGTGTTGCAACATTTTACATTCCTACCAGCAGTGTATAAGCAATTTCTCAACATCCTCAGAACTGTAAATATTTCCTCTTTTTGTTTGATTTAGTGGTTTTCCACTGTGGCTGTGGTTTCCCATTTTCTAATGACTAATCATATTAAGCATCTTTCAAGTGCTTATTGGTCTTTTATAGTTTTTTGAGAAATGTTTATTTATACCCTTTACTTATCTTCATATTGAGTTGTCTTTTGGTTTTCAGTTATAAAAGTACTTTGTATGTTGTGAATATATCTTTTCTGAAATATAATTCACACATATTTTTTCCTAGTTTGTTATCTTTTCAATTTTACATGTGAGAAAGATGTGAATTTTGGAAGGGCAGGGCTGAAATGTTACAGACTGAATATTTGTTTGCCCCAAAATTTATATGTTGAAATTCTACCACTCAATATGATGGTATTAGGAGACGGTGCCTTTGAGAGATAATTAGGAATAGACAAGAATCAGAACAGGATTAGAGTCCCAAGAGAGCTTGATTCTTTTTTCTCTCTGTCATGTGAGGAATCAATGAAAAATTGGCAGTCTGCGACAGACAAGAGGACCCTCATCAGAATCTGACAATGATGACATTGTGAAATCAGTCTTCCAGTCTTTAGTAAAGAATTTATTTCTGTTTATAAGCCACCCAGTTTATGGTAATTTGCTATAGCAACTGAAACCATGTAAGACACAGTCTCATAACCTCATCTAATCCTAATTACCTCCCAAAGACCCCATTTCCAAATATCTTCACATTGGAGATTAGGACTTCAACATATACATGCAAGGAAGTGAGGCAACCAAGTGAAGATGAAGGCAAAGTGTTATAAATCTTCCTGCAATTTTGTTTTACTGAGCAAAACATATTAACTAAGTCTATACACCCAATTCCACTTACCCACACTGTGTTTTAGGTAATTCATTAAAGCAATGACATCCAATGGGGTTTTAATAAAAAGATAAAAAGAATAATTCTATTTAGCTCTCTACAGTCTATAGTTAGCCTTCACTCACTAGTGGTGACTTTAGTCAGCATTGTTTTTTTTTTGAGGTTATACAACAGTTAAGGTGGTAAAAGGGTGATCTACTAGGAGCAGCCTTCTGTCATGCCCATTGTATTCCTATGTGAGTGCAGGTTCCAGCAACTAGTGGATACAGAGGCAGGTGCAGAAGGTAAGGATCCTCCAGAAGTAAAGAGAAGTGGAGAAGATTGCCACTGGTGACATCTATCTAACCTTAGTTTTGTAACTTCTTCACCAATTTATCAGAGATTATCTGATCTGGAACTCCTTTTTCTGTTAAGGTCCAATGCAAACTCTCTTGCTCTTCTCAAGGCTCACTCAAGAAAGAGCTGACTATAGGCAGTTGGTCTGGCCTAGAAAAAGGGTAGTTTTGTTATCAATAGTAATTTTGATTTTGATCAGTTAGGTGTTATACTTGAAACTTACAGACAACACTTTACTGAGTGTATCTTCCATGAATTTCTATGAAATTAGGAGCATCTATGAAGTCTTGAATTGTTTTAGCACTATCCACCATTTTGTCTGTAAAGAGGATTTATGTCTGCCAGGAGGATACCCAGGAATATTTTTATAAAATAAAGACAAACATGTTAGTCATTGTCAGTTGGAGCAAGGTATAAGAGTTGGGAAAAACAATAGACTAACTAAAAATATTAAAAGAAAAGGCTGGGGAATGAAATACTTCTGGGAAGAAGGGCTTTGAATATCTTACACAAAATTCTGAAAATCTGCAAGACCAGGCTTATACCCTGGGCTCAGTGCATGCTCAGAAATGACAAAAGAAAGTTCTAAGAACTCACCTCTGACTGACCTTCAGGTTCTGTACAATCAAGAAATGAAAGTTAAGGTATAGTTGTGGACAAACTGGGTGAGCATTGAAGGAGTGGGCCTGCACACAAGCAGATCCCATTTGCAAAGACTGAGAGATTTCATTGTTATTGTTGTTATTCCAGGTGTTTGAAGACATCGCTGTTAAATTACTAGTGGACAACCAAGCAAACAGAACTGAAACTTCCGTAGCTACACACATCAAAGAATACTGGGGTAAATATTCATATTGTTCAATTTGTCAATCAGTTCTTAGACATGATACCAAAAGCACAAACAAAAAAAAGAAGCTTAGATAAATTGAATTTTATCAAAATTTTAGAAATGTGCACATCAAATAATCTTATCACAGAATTGATGTGAGAACATACCAAATGAAGTAATATATTTGTGTATCATCTATTTATTGTTTGTCTTTTAAAATTATAATAATCATATAACATAAAAGTGTATTTTTTATTACTAAGATGGCTAAAGTAAGCATTGGGAACTTTAAAAAGAAGATTATTGGTCTAGTCTTCTTTTCTAAATAAAGTATGAGACATTGTTAAAACATAAACAACTATTATTGGTTTCAAGTCCTTTAAATATTTTTTAAATAGTAAAAAATCCAATAAATAGACCTGGGTGTTGACAAGGACATGGAAAAATTGAAACCCTCTTACACTGCTGGTGGGAATGTAAAATGATGCAGCTACTATGAAAAACAGTTCAGTGAGTTTTCAAAAAGCATTTTCATATGACCCAGAAATTCCACACCTAGGTATATACCCAAGAAATTGAAAACTGGTATGCACACAAAGGCTTGTACACATATATTTATAGAAGCACATTTCACAATAGCCAAAATGTGTAAACAACTCAAATGTTTATCAACAGATAAATGAACAAATTGTGTTATGTACATACACACACACACACACACACACACACACACACACACACACACACAGATATAAATTATATTATTATTTATTTTCAGCCATATAAAGAAATAAAATGCAATGTGAATGAGCTTTGAAAACAATACACTAAGTGAAAGAAGCCACATGCAAAAGGCCAAATATTGTATGATTCCATTATATGAAAATCAGAATAAGTAAATCCAGATCAAAAAAAAATTAGTACTTGTCAGAAGTTATGGGAAAGGAGAATGAGGAGTCATTTGTTTATTTTTTATGGATAAGATTACATTTTGGGAAAAGTTTTTCAACTAGATACACATAGAAGTTGCACAACATTTAAATATTCTACACCATTAAATTGTTCACTTTTAAATGTTTAACTTTATGAATTTTACCTCAATTTTTAAAATATAAAAAAGGAAATACCTTTGTATAGTTTGGTATACAGTAGTCATACCAACTTTGATGAATCTTTAATGGCATGTATAAGATTCCATGTTTACGTACTAAAGCTGCCTTACCTAACAAAAGTATCATTACAATGATACCCATCATAATGACAGACATTACAGATGATCAGACAATAAAATATTTAGTAAAAGCTACAATATTACAATTGACTTGAGACTTATGCACATAAAACAGACAATAAGCCAAAGTAAAAGAATCACAATAAATAGATCATGAAATATATGAATTTTTCATATATGATAAAGGGGGTAACAGCCTCATGGATTAGAAAAAAAATCCCTTGATAATCATAACATAAATTTATCTGGACAGTCACTACATCATATCACACAATAAAATAAATGTCAAAATGCTCAAGGGGTTAAATATTGAAAAGTTAAACTAAAGTATTTGAAAGTAGAAAAGAGTGCTTTAAAATTCTGTATGAAGCTGGGCTCGGTGGCTCAGCCTGTAATCCCATGCTTTGGGAGGCTGAGGTGAGTGGATTGCCTGAGCTCACAGGTTCGAGACCCGCCTGGGCAACTTGGCGAGACCTCATCTCTACAATAAATCAAAAATTAGCCGGCGTGGTAGCGTGTGCCTGTAGTTCCAGCTACTTGGATGGCTGAGGCGGAAGGATCGCCGGAGCCCAGCCAGTCGAGGTTGCGGTGGCCAGGAGCGGCCACTGCACTCCAGTCTGGGCGACAGAGTGAGACTCCAACTCAAATAAATAAATAAATTAATTAAATAAAATTCTGTATGATTGGAATTTTTAAGCTTAAAATCATAACACATAATTTGTTAAACATAATGACTTTAAACTATATTTTAGAAAAAATTATTAATAAATCTGTGTCAACTTGACTTTAAATTCCTGGAGGGCAGAGTCTACTTCTTATTTCTGGTTTACAATTTTTCCCCCCCTTGCAAAATAATTAAAAATATATAAATCAAGTTTTGAATGAAACTTCTCCCTCTCTCTCTCTCTCTCTCTCTCTCTCATACCTATACACACCTTTCTCCTTATTAGACTGTAACCTACTTGAGGAGAAGATATTTATCTGCTTTGACTACATATTTAAATATAGCACTGTGGTGTCTAGAGCTTTATATGCAGTTACTCCTTATTAATTCTTTGTTAATGCAATGAATAATGGATAAACTCTAAAAGATACAAAAAAAAGTAAGCACTTTTCATATTTTTATTTCATCTGTAGTAAACCTTTATCTGTTAATTTAATGTATCATATACCTGATCAATAGGCTTTTGCAAATTTAGAGAGCCCAAAAGATCAAATCTAGTATAGGCCAAAGCTTTAAGACATACCTGTCTGTTCAGCAGATTTTGAAACACAGACGTCCATGCCCTTTTTAACTATATTTTCTCTTGTGTCATTATTCACTTTCAAGTCTCCAATGTCATCATACTGGGTGATATTAGAGTGACTTTCTTTCAGGCATTTTAGCAATACTCCTTGAGAAACTGAAATGCAGGATTATTTTATAGTTAGGTAAATGTTTTCTCTATGTAATGTATCAGAGTCACATGCTTTGGAATTATTCTGATGATTGGAACAAGAAATTATTGAAAGAATAACTAAAACATGTTTTATATTTATTAGTGAACAATAATTTCAAATATTACAAATCAATTCATTTATAGAGCACATGTTTGATGAGGGTTTATTCTGTGTCAGGTATTCCTAAGAACTGTGATACAACAGTAAATAAAGTTTCTACTCTAGAAAGTACAGTTTTTTTCCCAAGCTTCTTAATATTTTGCTGAAAGCTCAAATCCTATATTTAGCATATTGTTCCATAATTATTTAACACTTGTTTCCTCCACTAGCATAAGAGATCTGTCACAATGAAAATTTGTTTTTAAATTAGTGAAATTTGTAATAACATTTCAAGTTTTGAAGTTGCTCAGTAAATATTTGTTGCGCAAAGGCAAGAACACACAGCACAACTTTAGATAACATATATAAAATATTTAAGAAAATGGTAAAATGGTAAAATTCTATATAAGTGTCTGACAATTTAGAAAAAATGATTCCAATCACACACACACCTTTCTCCATATTAGACTGTAAGCCACTTGAGGACAAGCTATTTACCTGGTTTGACTAATTAAACATAGCACTGTGAAGTACACTGTATAGAGCTTTACACATAGGTGCTCTTTATTAAATCTTGGTTAATGTGATGAAGAAGGAATGGATAAATATTAAAATATGCATAAGAAAAAAGTAAACACCATTAATATTTTTATTTAATTATGATTTTCTAGCTCAGTCCACCAACAAGAAATATCCATCTTAAACTATATGAACCCAATACAGGAGCACCAGGTTTTATAAAACAACTACTGTAAACTAGTACAACCTCTGTAGAAAACAGTTTGGTGATTCCTAAAAGATCTAATAATTGACCTATATGACACTACCATCCCCCTTCTGGGAATATATCCAGAGGAACTCAAATCACACTATGAAAAAAATACCTGCACACACATGTTTATTGCAGCATTATTCACAATAGCAAAAATATGGAACCAACACTGCTGCCCAATGAAAAGAGGACTGGATTAAAGAAAAAGTGGTACATATGCACAATGGAATATTATGCAGCCTCAAAGAAGGACAAAATTATGAACTTTGCAGCAACTTGCATGGTTTTTGAATCTATAATACTCAGTGATCTATCACAGAAACAAAGAACAGAGTACCACATGTTCTTACTCATAAGCGGACCTTGAAAGATTATCACAATACTATACAAAAGGGATTAGCAGAGGAGGGAAGGCAGGGGCACACCTCATCAACAAGGGTACCTGCATAATGACAATTTGTATACCTAATCCTGAGCTGTACCCCACATCTTTAAAAAAAAAACAAAAAAGAAAAAAGAAATAAAAGAAAAAAAGAAAAATAAGTAAAATAAGAAAGGACACTGACTTTCACACAATCACAGTTGGAGACCTAAATACCCCACTCACAATCCTAGACTGATCATCAAGGCAAAAAAATCAACAAGGAGATCTGAATCCTTAACTTGACACTCAATCAAATAAATGTAATAGACATCTACAGAACGCTCCATCAAACAATTACAGAGTATGCATTCTACTCATCAGCACATGAAACATACTCCAAGATCAATCACATTATCAGACATAGATCAAGCATAAACAAATTTCAAAAGACCAAAATTATACCATACATCCTCAGATCATAGTTGAATAAAAATAAATATTGCCACCAAGTTCCCTCCAAAACACACAAAGACGTAGACATTAAACAATGCTGTTGAACGACTTCAGGGTTAATACAGAAATCAAGACAGAAATAAAAAGATTCCTGGAAACAAATGAAAACAAAGACTCATCAGAATCTCTGGGATGCCACGAAAGCAGTGTTAAGAGGAAAATCCATTACATTACATGCACACATCAAGAAAACAGAAAGATCACAAGTAAATAAGCTCATGTCACACCTAAGAGAGTTGTCAAGGCAAGATCATCTAAATCCTAATTTCAGCAGAAAAATCCAAGTCACTAAGAGAAATTCACAGTTGCAGGGTATAGAAGACAAAAATATCATAGAAAGAATCAGCAAGACCAAAAGCCGGTTCTTGGAAAGGATAAATAAAATCGATGGACCTTTGTCCAGATTGACTACAAAAAGGAGTGAGAAAGTTTAAATAAACACAATTCAAAACGAAAAAGGTGAAGTCACAACTGACCCTGGAGAAATTCAAAAGATCATCACAGATTACTATAAACAGCTGTAGGCAAATAAACTAGAAAATCTAAAGGGAATGGAGGACTTTCTGATATTACACAACCTCCCAAGGTTGAAACAAAAAGAAATTGAAACTCTAAACACACCAGTAACAGCCTGGAAAGTCAACTCAGTCATAAGAAAACTCCCCATCAAAAAAAGTTGTGGACCAGATGACTTTCCACATGAATTCTACCAGATATATAAGAAATAGCTGATACAATCGTATTCAAAGTATTCCAGACAATCAAGAATAACGGAATTCTCTTCAACTCATTTCATGTGGCTAACATCATACTGACACCCAAAACTGGCAAAGACCAACAGGAAAGATAATTACAGGTCAATTTCTTTGATGAACTTGGGTGAAAAAATTGTCAACAAGATTCTAGCAAATTGGATCCAACAACACATCTCAAGAAACATCCAACATGACCAGGTGGGTTTCAATCCCAGAATGCAGGGCTGATTCAACATTCACAAGACCATAAATGTGATTGATAACATTAATAGATGTAATTACTACAAACCATATGATTATCTCATTAATGCAGAAAAAACATTCAACAAATCCAGCATCGCTTCTTGATAAAACCCTTGAACACCTAGGCATAGAAAGAACATTCCTCAAAACAATGAGGCATCTATGATAAACTCATGGCTAACGTTATGCTCAGTGGGAAGCTGGAAGCATCTCCTCTAAGAGCCAGAACAAGACAAAGTTGCCCACTCTTATTCCTCCTATTCAACATAGTGCTAGAAGTCCTTGCCAGAGCAATCAAGCAAGAGAAGGAAATCAGGGGTATCCAAATAGGAAAAGAAGTTATTGTATCTCTCTTGGTGGATGATATGATTCTGTACCTAGAAAACACTAGGGAATCAAAAGATTCTTCATACTGATAAACAACTTTAGTTAAAGCCTCTAACTGCAAAATAAACTTGCAAAATACAGTTGTATTCCTATACACCAGCAACAAGCAGGTGGAGAACCAACTAAGAAGCACAATCCCATTCATAACAGTAAGGAGAAAAAAAAAAAGAAATTCCTTGGCATCCACCTAATCAGAAAAGTGAAAAACCTTTACAACAAGAACTACCAAACACTGCTCTAATAAATCAAGAATGACACAAACAAATGGAAAATACCCTCCATGCTTATGTATTGGAAGAAGCATTACTGTCAAGATGCCCATCCTACTCAAGGTCATTTATAGATTCAATGCAATACCCATCAAATTACCAACATCACTTTTTACAGACCTGGATATGACAATACAGAAATTTATATGGAAACAAAAAAGATCACGAATAGCCAAAACGATCCTCAGGAAAAGGAATAAAGCAGGAGGTATCATTATTCCATACTTTAAACATTTTTTACAAGGCTACAGTAACCAAGATGGCATAGTATTGTTACAGGAGTGGACACATAGACCAATAGAACAGGATAGAGATTCTGGAAGCAAAAACTCAGTCTCTCAACTAACTCATCTTCCACAAACCCACCAATAACAATCATCGGGGAAAGAAGACTATATTTAGCAAATGATGCTGGGAATACTGGCTAACCCCATGGTGAAGAATGAAAGTGGACTCTTATCTATCACCATATACAAAAATAAACTAAAACTGGATCAAAGATCTAAACATATGACTTCCAACAATAAGAATCCTAGAAGAAAATGTAGGAAACATCCTTATGCACATCAGAAAAGGCAACAAAAGCTTGATCAAGTCCCCAAAAGTGAATGCCATAAAAGCTAAGATAGACAAGTGGGACCTCATCAAAATGAAAAGCTTTTGCATAGCAAAAGCAACCATGAAGAGAATAAAGAGATAGCATGCAGAATGGGGAAAAAATTGCAAATTATGCACCTGGCCAAAGCCTAACATCCAAGATCTACAAGGAACTCAAATAAAGTAAAAGGGAAAAAAACAAAAACCCCCATGAAAAAGTGGGCAAAGAACATAACAGACACTTTTCAAAAGATGGTATACAAGCAGCCAACAGGCACATAAACAAATACTCAGCCTCCCTGTTTATCATAGAAATGCAAATCAAATCAATAAGATACCACCTAACTCACCATGAATGGTTATCATGAATAAGTCAAAACAAACAACAGGTGCTTGCATGAGTACAGAGAAAAAGAAACGCTTCTACACTGGTGGTGGAAATGCAAACTAGTTCTGCCTCTAAGGAAAACAGTGTGGTGATTCCTAAAAGGACTAAAAATTGTCTTCTTATATGATCCAGCAATTCCCCTCCTGGGAATATACCAGAAGGAACATAAATCCCTCTATCAAAGAGACACATGCACATGAATGCTTATTGCGGCATTATTCACAATAGCAAAAACATGGAACCTATCCTGCTGCCCACTGAAAGTGGGCTGGATAAAGAAATATGGTAAATATACATGATGGAGTATTATGTAGTCACAAAAAGAACAAAATCATGGACTTCAGAGCAACTTGGATGGATTTGGAGACCATGATACTGAGTGAACTATCATAGGAACAAAGAACTGATTACTGCATGTTCTCACTCATAAGTGGGCCCTAAACATTATTCACATTAGAACAAGTATGGGCACTGTTAGAAAGGGAGAGAGGACAGTAGGGAGCATGTAACAACACAAAGGGTACCTGGTCTACTCCCAAGGGGGAGTGAGGGCCAGATAGAAACCCCAAAATTCACCTCTATGCAGCCTGCTTATATAGTTAATTCGCACTTGTACTCCACAACTCTATAATAAAAATAAATTTTAAAAAATTATTTAACTTACCCATCAGGATCAAGGAGATCAAAGCCAAAGCCAAAATACTATTCACTGTTCCAGAGATTCCCAATAAGATTTTATACCGGTGCAACATCACTGAATAATCTAAGATATTAATCACGTAAGTTAGCTTTTAAAAGTATGTTTCCAAGAAATAACAGTAGTTATATTGATAGGATTGTATAAGATATCAGTTTTTAATATTTCAAAGAGTATTAAGCAATTAAAGGCATAAGGGATAAGGAAATAGAAAAAAATGTACATTCATTTTATTTAAGAATTATAATACTCTGGATGGTCAGAAGCTATGATACATGTTATGCCATCTTAAACTGCTAATATTTTACATTAACTAGTAGAAATAAATAATTTTAATCTATGCACCTAATAATTCTCCAAACACATACTCATGAAATACATATGCATTTACATAATACTTTTATATTCACATAAATAAACACTTTCTAATTAACCATTAGTTTAATTTAATATTTACAAATCATTTGAAGCTTTTTCATTTACTAAGGATGCAGTATGAATCAGAACAAAAATTTCAGATATCCTGCTATTCTCATCTTTAAAAATTCTAACGTACTTCGTTACCTATGGAATAACATTATTGCTTCTTCTTACATGGTCAACTTTATAAAAATGAGAACTGGCTTGCTTTCCATATATCTACATTGAGAGGTTCAAGATAAGAGTGTTCATTCAGTGATTGTTATGTTCAAGAAATGATATAATTATACAGAAAGTAAACAGTTTCACCCAGTCCTTGAAGTACATATTTTATTATTTATCTCTGCCAAATTAAAGAAAATGTAGATTTGGTGGCCACTGACTTATAAAATTATATGAATAATTATTCTGAATAAATGAACATCTATATTTTGCAAGAAACTTTATATAGTTTATACAAGTGCATCATAATAACTGATAGAATCATTCTCTATAACTGTGACTATTCTTATTGTTCAGTCAATAAATTGAATTATTAATACGGAAATCTATATTCCAAATACATTTTAAGCCCAATATAATAATTGAAGTTGCCAAACTCTGTCAAGAAAGACCATGACAAACCCTGCAGAATAATATTTCAAAGAAAGAGTTTGCACCTTTTTTCTCATAAAAGCATTGACAAAGATATTAAAATAAAATTTATCAGAACTCATTTAATAAATACCTTGCATTTATCAGATCATTTTTTAAATGTTTGATGTGTTGATAATGGCAAGCAATAAATTTCAAGAAACAAAACACATGTATTAAAATGTCACATTTATTTTTAAAAATATAAACTATCAGAAAACATGAAAATAAAGAAGGAAAAAGGTAGTTGAAATTCAACTCAGAGTAAATTATTTCTCATAAGCAGTACAGTATGACTTTTACAACATGAACTTGAGGAATACTAAGACTTAGAATTATGGAGAAAATAACACTTTCATTATCCTGTGTTTTCTTTGGTAAGAAAATGATATAATTTAACTTTAAAAAGTTAAAACACAGTTTTTTATAACCAAAAAATAAGAATTAAAAAATGTGAAAATAAAAAACATCAAAACCAACCAGTCTTACAAAATGTTAAATATGCACGAAAAATTAGAATATATTGCAACCATGTTGGGTTTATTCTATAAATACGAGCCTTATTCAATATTGGAAATCCACCAATATCATACTAACAGAGCTAGAAGAAAATGTATCATCATCTCAATAGATAGAAAAATGAAATTGATAAAATGCAATACCTTTATGTTCAAAAAGCAGGAACAAGTAGATACTTGTTTAACATAATAGTTTTATGTCTAATGAAGCTATCATCTTACTCAATTGAGAAATATTAAAGTTTTGTTGCAAAAGTTTACAAAAAACCAATGATATCCCAAATCTTCTTTAATATTAAATATTGTTTAGTAGATATCTAATGCAATCAGACAAGATAACCCAGTTAATTATTTAAGAATAATATGAGTACATATTTGGCAAAACCAAAAGAATCAAAATTTTAAAAATCTCACAATCTCATAAACAATAATTACTTAGTAGCTACAGTTATAAAATTAACATACAAAAGTAAATGTCTGTATAATCCCATAACCATTTAAAAATACGGATGAAAGGAAGGCCTTACATATGGGTAGCTAACCAAACAAAAACAAATACACAAAAAGAAAGGAAAACATAAACTCAGCAATTGCTCCAAGCCAACATGAGGAAAAGAAGAAAAACTAAAAACTGAATAAAGTGAATACAATCGTGTTCTGGAATAAGAAGACTAAATGTCATAAAGATAAATTCTCCCTAAATTGATTGATAAATTAGGACATAATAGGATACTGAAGTGCTATATCAGGTTTTGTTGCTGTTGTTGTTGTTGTTTGTGGTGAGAGAGCCTGCAAAATGTATTATAAAGTTATTTGGAAGAACAAACAAGTGAGAATAAGTAAACATTAAAAAGATAAAAATATAAAATGGTAAAATCTTATGAAGGGAGCTAGATTTATGGAAGGTGTATTTCTCTGGAAGTACCTTACCATATATTGTAAGTTTGATTCTGAAAACATGTGAATGTTTTATATAATTATAAAAGAAGTTAAAGCAAAATGAAAAAGACAGTGATGCATAAAATAGAATGGAAAATGGAGAAAAGGAACATAAGTAGGTATTGTAACTTCACCATAGAGAGAGGAATTATTTGAAGTGGTTTTAGAACATAATTTAACTGTGTGTGCTCATGGAATATATACTAAGGATTAAATTATAAAACCTGCAAAAATATTTTAATCTCTTTTGAGTAATTATATTATTAGTAATAACATTTATACAGTAATTCTGAAATTATTGTATTAGTGGGATACAGTCATTATGCAATTTCTTCCTATCATTGGTAACCAGAATTTCCAACATATAAGAAAAGATTTACAAATATACAATCACAAAATTAAATGAAAATCTGTAGTCACAATGTTCCAATTGTCAATCTAATTATATGAAATATATCTTACCTCCACTTTACTAATATTAACAAAAGCTACAAAATGTGGATATTAGTATGTGCCACTTGAATATCTGGTAGCCACAAATCTACACATTTTGCCTTCAAAGAGACATCGAAGAACAGAGTGTGAAAAAATTTCTGCACAGAGATCACTACATTTTGTGGTTGTCAGTTTTAAAATCTCTAGTTTCCAAAAGCAAAACAAAAGTTGAGTGTAGAGGGTGAATAAAAAACTTTTAAAATGTGGGATTTGTAAAAATCCACTTGAAAGCCCCAATAAATTTTTTATAAATAGGCACATATATGTAACTCTAAGATGAATCAGTGATATGAGTGCAGTAATAAAAGGCTATGGGATGGAGTGACTAATGTATAAATAAATATTTCTCTGGGGAAACTAATGGATTTTTAAAGATGGTGATGCTTGAGAAAGGACTCAAAAGATAAGTAAAATTTCCATAGGTGGAAAAATTATCAAAAGAGATATATTTAGAAAGGAATAGCACAGGATAGATATTTTCTATAACTGTGATTATTTGTATCTTTCACTTCTGTTTATATATTTTTGCCATATCACATTAAGGTGGTAGAATGGCTTCACCATGTGTAGAGGGTATGCTTAAAGCAATAAATTAAAATGTTGACTATTAGTGTGCAAAATTTATTTTGAGTCGGCCTAGTAAAGAACATATTTTAAAGTTTTCCAAAAGTTGAATTACAAATTAGAATTAAATGCCATATTCTATGAATAATAAGGAGGTGAATGGCACCAAGTATTCACTAATTTAAAATCATTAATTTTAGTTTAATATATTCGTTTCCTGAGAATATATCCTTAATAAATTATACTATACAAAATATCATAAGCAAGTGTTAGCACCACATTGATAAATGAGAGAAAGAGGGAGAGAGAGAGATGATCCTACAGAAATTTTGTCAGAGTAAATGAAGGAACATAGTTAAAATACTTTATATAGTGCCTGAAATTGGTGTTTCTTAAATTATTAGAGTGGTTGATATTTTAAAATTATTATTATGCTTAAAAGAGAAGGAGAGAGAGAGAAACACCAAAAAAATTAAACAGTCCGAGAACACAATAGAACAGAATACTGGAAACTAATTTACTTTCTGAAAAGCAAAACTAAATTCCATACCTTTAAATGTAAGTTCAGACATTTGGATTGAACACTTTTTCTTCCACTGTACATTCAATGTCATGTATCTTTCTTTATCTTCCATCGTGATTTTGAGTGAATGTGTATGTATATGTGTTATGATTCGTAATGAGGTAAGAATAATAAACCTGCTGCTGATCAGAGATTCTCCTCAACTTGTCCTTTCAGGGCACACAGAAGAGTTCACAGTTTCAGTTATTGGTGAAAACCTCAGAGGAAATGTGTTCTTTAAAAAACATTTGCTTCACATGACATAGATAACACATAACTTCTCAAGTCTTCACCACATATTGAATTGATTGTGTTATTGGGTGCTTTAAAAATTTCTCTGAATAACATACCTGTTAAGTCAGGAGAATAGTAATTATGTACCTTTAGAGCTGAGGTAAATAATTCGTAGCTGACTTTTGTTTTAGTGTAAGTATTTATATGAAATTTGAATTACATTCCCTAATATATTGATATTTATTGTAAAAATGCAATTTCCGAACAATGAAATTTTATGTTCTTATTCTAAAACATTGATTATAAATTATGCCAATAATTTAATCACATAATTTGAAGAAGAAAAATAAATGCTGACAATTTTTTGACATTCTAAGACTCATCTTAAGTAATAAATAAAAGCAGGGCAGAATTCAGGAGGAAAAAAACCCATATTTCCAATTACTTTTTTCTGGTATATTAAGGCAGTGTGCAATCTTGATAATATCTTTGAAACTTGCAATTGAACATTAAAAATAGTTAACCAAAAATAGATGAACATGCCTTCTCTTTCAATATCTAAGTCAGATTACATTTACCTTTTTCTGGATTTCAATATTTAAGACTACTGAGTTTAGTCTACTTTATGAGTACTATCAACATGAAAACCGAGGCAGCTGGGGCTTTCCAAGAGGGGCTGACCTTGCATGAAGCTTGTGCAATTGACGGAGGTAAAGATCCTAAACAAGAAAAGGAGGTCCTTTTGCTGTGGTGGAGAACTGGTACTCTTTGATTTGTAAGGATTTATATATATATAAATTGATACACATAATTTATATATATATTCCTCTGAGGTTTTCACCAATAACTGAAACTATGAACTCTTCTGCGTGCCCTGAAAGGACAAGTTGAGGAGAATCTCTGATCAGCAGCAGGTTTATTATTCTTACCTCGTTACGGATCATAACACCTATACACACACATTCACTCACACTCACGATGGAAGATGAAGAAAGATACATGACATTGAATGTACAGTGGAAGAAAAAGTGTTCAATCCAAATGTCTGAACTTACATTTAAAGGTATGGGATTTAGTTTTGCTTTTCAGAAAGTAAATTAGTTTCCAGCTCTAAAGTAACACAAACATAGAACTTACTTTCATTTTTCCGTCTTAATTTAGAATAGCGAAGTCTGAACACAACAGAATCTGTAACAAATTTTTTAAAAAGTTTGCCACCCTTCAGAACTAACAGACTTTTAATTACTCAAATACAAAGAGCTTTCTCACCACAGCATTCACCTATGCTACAATCTATGATAAGATGCTTTTATTCTTCATTGACTAGAAAATCCCTACACTTGATCTAAGATGCAAGATAATATATTGTCAAACTAAATATGCAAACCAGCATAATTCTCCTCCATCAGAGCTTTATAAATTCTCCTTGGCACCATTTTTTAATTCCCTTTTCTTCTCCATATTGCGTTGAATTTGAAATTTTTGAGTCAATATCTGTCTTTTCAACTCAAATATTAACTCAATGAGGGCAGAAGCCAAAGACTGTGTCTTCTTTACGCTGTATTTTTCTGTGAATAACACTGTGTAATATATGGTAGTTACTCAACAGATATTTTTAAATAAATAAATTATGTTGGAGCTGATTAGATATCATCATTCAGCTTAAATAGATTTAATATTTAAAAAAATAATACTAACTTCTTTGATAACAGTAGGTTTTAGGGGAATAGGTTTTATGAAAGCAGAAAAACCACTGACGAAAGCTCTGAAGGAGACACACGTGAGAAGTTACTATAGCTTTGCACTGAGATGGTAGCTGGGCAGATGCAGAGGCACTATTGAAATGTGTTATGAAAGTGAAGCATCTGGATTTGTTGTGAAGGAAAAAAAAAATTATTTTAGGATAAATCCCTCCTTGAAGACCCATGAATTATTTTTACATAAAGATGAAGATATGAACTACTTTTTGTGTCAATATTTTGATAGTAAAGAATGCTGGTGTATCAATAAAGTATTTGTATATTTGAAAAACATTAAGTTTTGTAAACTTGCTGAGCTATGAAAACTCACATTGCTTGGTATTTAATATTGTCATTCTTGGAGATACTAATGAGCTCCAGATGGTTTTCCTGCACAAAGTTTTGAATTGCAAATCCATCCTTATTAGGGTAAAAACAGAACTTCTCACCGAATCAACATTAATTAGATGAGGAATTATTGAGCATTTTAAAAAATTACACAATGACGTTTCTTTATATTTTTTGACATCAATTTTTATTAACTCATTCTTATCTGAAGAGAGAAATGGTACCAGAAATCCACACTTTGATTTTCAGACTCAGATTCTATCTCTAGAAGAAGCAGAAACAAGTCCTCCAACATAATTCATTCATAAATCTCTTTGCAATAATCCTTTAATATATGTTGTTCTGAAACTCTAATCATCTTGCTACATATTTGTTAAGACTTATGCAATGGTGTAGATCCTTATCTCAGGCCATTTGGTGGATGTGTCATGCACTTTGTTAATTTTCCAACATATGTGTCTTACTTCCAAGAAAGAAGTTGGAAGACTCCATTCCCAGATTCCTCTGATGCCAGGAAGCAGGTAAATGAAATAGCCTCCACCAATAAGAAACATTGTTATGAGACTGTCAAACAGAAGTGAGCAAATGATGTGGCAGTGAGGAGTCAGGTTCAGAAAAGTGAGAGCAGCAACTTCTAGTTCATTAAGGATAAGATAGGCAGGACCTTTTTGCATCAACTTCAATTTATTAATTCCACAGACCAAGAAGCCAAGAAGCTACACATATCACAATCAGAACCACACATTTAGAACTGGACAAATAACCAGGAGATGGATCCAGTCTCTGCTAGGCCTGCAATGAAGACACTTGGGTCAAAGTTCTAGTTGTCCTTGATACTCATAACCTTGCTATCTTACATCAGGTGTTATTAGCAAGGCAATATTTAATATTTTAAGGAATATTTGCATATTTCTGTTTCCAAGAGCTCATGTACTTTCATAATCAGACTGTATAACTTTGAGAGAGATAAGAGGAAGACCTTAGGGATGAGTATCTGCTATAACTTAAGTGAACGCCAGTGAAAATTGTATAAATATTAATGTTAAAAATTCAGCAGTCCATATCACATACTAGTGAAAAAGATAATCAATCTCCTGTTCACCATTAATTAAGTGCCCATTGATAGCAAGCATTTGAGGACCACACATTTCCATTACTACAGAATAATGCTGGGCTGACCACTTATAAAAGTACTGGGGAAACTTAAAAAATGGAATGACAAGCTTTGAACGCTAAATCAGCCCTTCCAGATTTACGTAATAGAATTAACTCCTAAATCCCCCAATGCACCCATAGGATGCAATGAATTCACGTCCCTCTTATGCATCCAGAATGGTACTATGTATGCACAACCCTCGAATGTATTTAGAATATAGTCCTTTAAATCACTCTCTGTGGGGTTTAATCCTCTCGTAAAACCCAGTAGAGAAAGACTAAATTTTTGGCTGAAGACATGCATTGAACACCAGGTACTTCAGATTATCATGTTAAAGCTCCGACTTACTGCAAAGTAATCCTGAAATCAAAGTGTCCCATTGTTATATGTGATTAAACAGAAGCTGAATTATTTTATCTGGGAGGGAAAATTTTTTTAAATTGCTGACTGTAGCTAAAGGATGCAAAAGATGTCCTCTAAGATGTTCCCTAAAGCAAAGTTCAAAGTTCTATAATAATTAAAGTAATTACTTACTGAATAAACACTTAAGTGTGCCACTACTTCTAGGTGACTTATATATGAACCTCATGTGAAGGTCACTTCCAGTCTTAGGGGGTTATCATTGTTGTTATCAAACTCATTTTATAGATGAGCAAACAGAAGGATAGAGGGATTAGTTAACTTGTTCAAGTTTACTTAGCCAATACATGTCAAATCTAGTATAAAAAGTCAGCAGGTTGTCCAGGGATCATATCTCTTAACCACTAAGGAATACTGGTTTCTCAGTTTGCATCTGTCACATGGTCTGCCCTAGTACTCAAATATCTGTATTCTAGTCCTTACATTTTCAATACTTCTGTGATATCCACACATTGCTTTACCTCCCAAGTCTTGCTTTCTTCAGCTGAGTTAGTCTCTCATGGTCAGCCTCTAATATTTTTCCCAGTTCGAGTGCCTTAGAATTTAATTAACATAAAAAGACTCTGCACATGGCTGAAATCAGGTATCAGGTAGAAAGGGATTCCTTGGGGTTTGGGAGGAAAACTACAATTTAAACTTTTTCTTTCCCATAAATTATATGTATTGAAATTATGTACAGACAAGAACTATATGTTATATATATTTGCATCTTATATTTATATATTGTATCTGTGGCCATGCCCTGTAACCCACTGAGAGCTTGAATGTACCTTTCTAATTGTAAATATTTCATATTTACTTCTTGATAATGAAGAATTGGGTGGACTATTTAATCAGTTGATGAAAACCTGCTCTTTAGCCCAAATTATTTAATATCAATATGATAAGGGAATTGACAATAATCCTGTATTATGTAATTTCTGATTCTTCCCAATTATCACAGCTAAAGTGCTATCTTCAGAGAGTAAAGAGTGAGAAGCATTCATGCAATGATGTGACAGATCTGCCCACATCAGTGATCGCCATAAAAACTGTTGCTATGTTACCAAGATTTTTAAAGTAAGAAACTGTCTCCGTATAGACAAATTTTTGACTCTATTCAGAAGAGCAAATGTTTAAATATTATTATCTTTGCAGATATTGATAACAATTATCTACATGGTCACTGGAGAATTA